CATATCAACTACATGGGAGTCCAGCAACATAACCACTACGTCATCTGCTAGTCCCCAATATTATTTTTAATTTGACCAGAGAGAGAGAGAAAGAAAACAAGCTGCTAGGTCTAGAATTCAAACCGCTGTTGGCCACATGAGAGTCCAAAGATGTAACCATTATGCCACCTGCTGGCCGCGCTGTAATAATTTTTAAAAAGAGGGAGAAGGGGTGCTCTGCAAGATAGGGTCAACTAAGAAATTACCAAAAATGCATTTAATTTTCTTTTTTTAAATTTAACCTTTTTTGGGGGGGGGAGAGGTTTTTGCTATAGGGCGCATGCGCTTGTCATAGAGAGAGAAAGCGAGCAATTAACCCCCAGGGGGGATGGCCACGCCAAAATCCCTTCTCCTCTATTCTCCTCTCGGGATCTTGGGCACACACGCACACATGCCCGGTGTGAATTTAAGCCACTGGATCCGGGACTCGAACTGCAGCTGACTACATGGGAGTCCTGCGACATAGCATCTACACCAACTGCTAGTCACTTAATTTTCTAATAAAATAAATGGGCTAGCAGCCACCAGTTTGCTGGAGGGCGTCCCCGCGAGACGACCTGCGTTGCGAGTCCCTCTCCGCCAGCTCCTGCCCGAGACCCCGCATCGCCACAGTTTGCGGGAACGTTCCGGTCACCGTGTTCCCCGCTGGGTGGCGCGCTCCACGAGGGGCAAGCTGGGCTCCTCCAGACCGTTTAGAAGTTTTGAGAAGCAGGCTGTGCTAAATTGTTCTGAGGTGTGTTTAAGTAACAGACCGGGTTGCGGTCGCGGTCACAGGCCGCGACAGAGGGCTGCGGCGACAGCAGCTTCTGCCGTCTCCCCATGCTGATCCTGCCCTGCTCCGGATCCCCGGCAGCCGGCTCCCAGCGCGACCGTCGCCCACCCAGGGCCTTCGTGGTCTCCGCAGGGACAGCCCCGCCTGGCGAGCGTCCCGCACCCCGCCCCAGGGCCGCTTACCTGGGCGCCCCTCTGGCTCCAACTCTGGGCGTGGACTCCCTCTCCTGCCCCCTGTACCCGGCGACCTCCACGTGCTGCACCTGCCCAGGCAGCAGGGCTGCGGGAAGCCTCTCCCAGGTGTCCCCAGAGGAAGGGGAGTGCCCCTTCTCTTCCAGCTAGAATGGGGTGGGATGGCGGGGCCGCACACGAGCCCGCCCACTAGGCCGGGGGAACCCAGAGGGTCCAGGTGTCCTTGCCGGCCAGGTCTGCCAGACCAGGAGGCTGAGCTTTCAGATCGGGTGTAAGTGACCGACCGCCTCCGCAGGGCCGCAGGTCAAAGGGAAGGCAACGTCACTGTCAGTGTGTGGGCTATAGGCCACTGGGACACTCAGAGCTCTCCCAAACCAATGTCCTCACGTCTGCCCTGCTGAGCCCTCACGTGGAGCTCGGCACACCCTGAGCCACACAGGCACCTCCCTCCAAGGCAGGATGTGTTGCTGGGTCCCCAGGACTGCAACTTACAAGGCCCTAAGGGCTGACATGACTGGCTCTTCTCCAGGGCCACAGGAGTGGCCTGGGTCGGGCAGCTTGAACTCCCTGCTGCAGGCACCTGGTGCTGCACGGTCTACTGTCCATGAAGCCCCAGATGTCTTCCTGAAGGAAGTGGAGAAGGCAGAGGCATTTTCCACCACCGAGGTGGCCCTACGAGCCAGCCTAGGTCAAGGCCGTGCCCACCTGCCCGCCCAGTGAGTGCTAGGTTCAGTGGTTGATACAGCTCTTGTGCATTTTCCCGGGAAGATGGCCCAAGGCTGTCACCAATCTCACGAGAACTGTGACCTCTCAAGAGTTAAGAACCATTGGTTTGGGGAAAAATGGCATTAAAGGGAGGGGGGGGATTGGGCCAGCCCGTGGCAAGGTGGTTAAGGCATTGGATCCCACATGGCTGACTTTGCTGCTTGAGTCCAGGACTAGTGGCTTGAAAAATAATGCCTGGCAGGTGTGTGAGGGTGCCCAAAACCGCAGAGTGGAATGGAGAAGGGACTGCAGTGTGGCCAGTGGTGCTGGAGGGCAGGGAGGGTGGTTTAGGGGTGATTGCTCACTCTCTCTGGTGAGCACACACACCCTATACCAACAAATAAATAAATAAAATCATTTTGTAAAGCTTAAAAATTACTGTCGGGGTCAGGCATGTGGCATGGTTGGTTAAGGGCACTGGACTCCCACATGGCCAACTACCATGGTTCAAGTCCCAGACCTGGCAGCTTGCTTTCTCACTATCAACTCTCCCTCTCTTTCTGGTAAAACAGAATTACTACTACTACTAAATAAAATTGAATAAATAATTTAAAAAAATTACTCACTGTCCAAATTTTAAAAATTAAAAGTACTCACTGTCCACTGAAGGTTCTCCTTGGCGTGTGCTGTTGTTTTTAACAAGAGCACCTCTACACTTGATCTTAGCCAAAAAGCCCAGAAGAAATAATGTGTGCATCTTTCGGGAAGTAATAACTTTCTCCGCTTTCCCTGTCTTAGAAGGTCAAAAATGATGTCATTTAAATATGCTTGTGAATATCTTCCCTACCTGTTATAATTTCTTTTTAAAAAAATATCCTTTAACTAATCGTCGGAGATGCGTACGGCGGAACCACGCGGGCAGCCCTCTCAGTGTTCAGCTTGAAGCACACGCCTGGCTCCACGGATGGTGGCGTTGACCCAAGAGGCCTGGTGGGCGCTGGGAACTCTCCCGCTGAGTGGTCAGAGGTGAGTTTGTGTTGTCGCCTTGGGGTGAGCGATTCCGCACTGGTATCTGCACTGGTATGAAGTCAATAACTGAGGAGCCCCTTTTATCTTTTTCAAAAACAGGGATAAAATAAGCATTTAATTTCATTCAGTAAATCAGTAAATCAATTCCAGTTAACTATCTGGTAGAAAACTTAGAAGAAAGCAAACACCGGACCCGGGACATGAAAGACGTGTACCATACTGGAAAGCAGGAAGCGCACACAAGGCAACGGGGAGTTACTTCAGTGTAACACGGAGAAACGGTGACTGTCCTTTATTGTTGTATCTATGCTCTCCCAGCTTTAGCTGTAAGACTGCAAGTAGCCACAAAGTGCCACCTTCTGGTTTAAAACTGTGCAACATCTCTTTATTTGTTTTTAAATGCCATTTTATGGTGGGCGTATAAAGCAACGGTAGCAGTTACAAAATGTGGTCTGAGGACTTCTGAGAGCTCAAAACAAGGATCTGTATAGAGGCTGAATAAAAAGATGTTCAGTTAATAGTGCACGCTGTGGGACTTTAACAAACATCTTCAGCTGGAACTTTTGTGTAAACCGTAATAGAGACATGACTCAGGGGGACCAAAGGTAAAATACCTCTCCTGTAGGCTTAGTGAGGTGGTCTGCACTCTGCAAGCCACTTACAAATATCAGAAATGTTGCGGTGAGAACTAGGCATAGAATATTTCACGTCCTCTCTACAGAGGAGCAGCAGGGGACAGGGAACCCTGCGGATGCCCTGCCACCACCTTCCCCAAAGACGTACACCCGAGATGGCAGTGGAAGCCCCGCAGCAAGCCACCTTTACAATCTTTTTGGTTGTTTAAAATACAAGCACTTTCCGACATTCCCCTCCCTGGCCTGTGAGCCCCACCCCGACTCGGGATCCAAGGCCAGGTCCTCTTGCTTAGATTTCCTCTTAGAAGTATTTACAGGATGCCTACAGATACAGTATAAACTAGTATGAAATTAATGATCCTTTGCATTTCCAGACACGCCAAGCCAATCCCAAAGAACGGTTCAGAGGGATGGTGACTCTGAAGCAATGGCATCCATGCCTGCAGAAACAGGCTTCTCACTGGCTGGGGCGGCGTCGCCAACTCTGTCCTCCACAGTGGCAGGGGCTGTGGGAGCAGGGAGCGTCACATCCACGGTGCGGGGGGAGGCTGCGTCTGCCTTTGCAGTAGTCGTGATGGGGCCGGAAGGCAGGCTGCCGGTGGGTGGGAGGGAGGGCAGCAACTCCCCTGATCCCGCTGCGGCAGAGCCCTCTGGAACCAAAGGGAAGGATGGGAGGAAGTCGGATGGCATGGGGAGAGGTGCGATGCCAGGCAAGTTTCGGGGAGGCAAGGAAGGAAGAGGTGGCAGACCTAGGACAGAAATTGCACAGATCATACATCCTCCTGGCACTAAGGGGCAGAAGGCATTGTCACAGTCCATTTGCATTTCCATAAGGAACTAAAGGAGAGACAACACGAGTCACCCCTTGCGTCTCTCCAGTTGAGGCCACGACGGGGTCAGTACTCCCTGCAGTAGAGCTGACCAAGAGGATAGGGACCTGCCTTCTAGGCTCCCCGTGGCTCAGCCCGGCACTGAGGGACACCAGCTAGGAAAGAACTGCTCCTCCAGGTCAGCACCGACAGGCCCACACGGGAGCAGAGGTCGTGACACCAGATGGGAGGACACAGGCTCCGCTGTCGGGGGCGAGCAAGCTGAGTTCCCGCTGCCCTCTGGACAGACACCAGGAAGGCACAGGAGCCAACCTTCCTGCGAGGGCTAAGGGAGGGAGGGGCTGGGATTTCAGCCTCCACTAGTTACAGCTGTGATCGACAGCCTTTTACATAATTTGGGGTGGTTTTATTCTGATGATTTAAAAAAGCAGGATGAAGGAAAGTAGTGTTACTTCAAGAAACAGAAGAGGGCCGAGCTGGTGGGTAGGGGCTAAGGTGGCTGGATCCCACATGGTTGACGGCATGGCTGGAGCCCTGGATCCTGGCTTGAAAAACATGCCAGAAAAAAACAAAACAAAACAAAAATAAACAAACAAAAACCATGCCAGGCACCTGTGCCTGTATGCCCAGAATCCTGAGAAGAGAATGGAGACAAGATTGCGGCATAGTCATTCCCCGAGGGGTAATTTATCATAGTCCTGCTCTGCCTCTCTCTAGCTCCCTACAGGAAATTTAAAAAAGAGGGGCCAGCAGGTGGCATGGTGGTTGAGGTGCTGGACTCGCACATAATTGACGATGTCTGAATCCCAGACCAGCAGTTTGAAAATCAAACTGGGCACGTGTGCATGTATGCCCAAAATCCTAGCAGGAGAATAGAGGAGAAGGGACTGCACCATGGCATCCCCTGTGGGGAGGATTTCTCTCTTTCTCTCTCTCCCTCTAGGGTGAGCCAGGTACCTATAGCATAAACCTAAAAAAGAAAAAAAAAGAAAAAAAAAGGCAGGTTGTAAAGCTTGGGTTCAGGGCAACCTGTGAGCTAGTGAAATCCTTATGGCCCTTGAGTCTGTCAAGTCTGAGGAAAAGGCAGAGAGCAGCCAGAGTACAGAAAACAGCAGACACGAAGGGCGGGAGCTAAGACCGGGAGTGGGAGCCGAGTTTACTAGCGCTTCCTTTGTTTTGGAAACCTTTGTGCTGTAAAGGAAGATCTACACAGATCTATACAGAGATGACAAGTGTTACAAAAGGGGCAGTTGTAACCCACACGGAAACTGACAGTGACAAGTACAGCCACTCACTGGCAGTACTGACGGGCTCAACTACTGAGATACCTGTCAGTCAGCGATCTCCAAGGTCAAGGTGACCCGTCATCATTAACTTTAAGAGCAGGCTGATGGGACGCTCTGCTGCTGTATCTCCATTAGCACACAAAATCTGGGTGTCTAACTATGTGCAGCTAAAATCTGTCACAGATTGGGTTAATAATGAGACTATTTATCAAAAACAACCCCAACCAGCTGACCAGGGTGATCATTTTCCTGCCCAAGTTTCTGGGCAAGGGCCCGCTGGTGGCACTTGCTCAAAAGGTGACCAGGGCAGCGGGGAATCTGTTCACTGCTGTGGGCGTACGGGACCCATTTCAGATTCAGTGTCAGCACCTCGCCACCGCTTTGACTTCCTACACCTGGCCCTCTGGTGCTTGAGCTGACAGGGTGCAGGCAGAGGGGAAACACAAAGATACTCTTGTATTTTTATTCTTAATCTTTTAAATAAAAAAAAAATGATATAAAGTAGCTGAAATCTGTTAAACTGATTTGCCCTTTCCAGAACAAACTAAAACAGAGGATGGATGGGCTTTCCTGAATAAAGCTTTTTATTAGAGACCTTCCTAGGAGGATAAGATCTGCCACATACCCGGGTTTCCAAGTTCTGGCAAGCCACCGCCTGGCATGATGTGTGGTGTGGGCAGGTTGAGGTTGGGGAGGCTGGGGAGGTTGGGGAGGTTGGGGAGTCCTGCTGGTAAAGGCATCAGACCTGGACAGAAGCAGAGAGAACCAAAGGTCAGTGCTTCACCCAGGGAAAAGCAAACCTCATGTACTGGGAAAAAAAATCTACTTCACAGTGAGGCCTCCACTAGGTACTATATGCATGCCTGACAAAATCCATACCGTAACTCACCCAGATATACACTGACTCTATGCAAACCGAAAATCATAAATACAAACTAAAATGAACAAAAACCAAAATGAGACTACCAGAAATCTACTTCATGTGCAGTTCTGTATCGCAATAACAAATCTCAGTTAAAATAGAGTTCTATACCTATGTGAGTAGATGGCTACATGGGTTAAAGGTTAAATAATGAACACCCCCTAAAACTCCACAAGAATGACGATGGCCTGAGTATCCTGGAGAGATGGTTGGTTTATTTCAGCAAATACGGTAGCAAATGGAACAGAAGTTTTCTTTGATTGAGTTTATAGTCTGTGGCTTTCTTTTCTTTTTTTCTGCTAGAGGGCACATGCGCTTGCCAGAGACAGACAGACAGGGAGAAGAGAAGGCTCCCCGAATGGGAATGGTCACATCGCAATCTCTTCTCCACCTCTTCCTTTTTCAGGATTTTGGGCATGCATGTGCACACGCCCAGCACGTTTCTCAAGCTGCAAGTCCAGGACTTGAACTGTGTGGCTGGCCATGTGAGAGCTGGCTGCCTTAACTATCAAGCTATGGAGCTGGCCTTTTTTCATTTTAATTTTTGATTCTGAAATAATTTCAGATTTATAGTAGTAAATCCCCACATATATCTTTCACCCAATTGCCCACATGTTAACCCTTTACCCCAACCTTCACCATTCTGTGTGTGTGTGTGTGTGTGTGTATACACATCTGATTCATGGCTTAATGTGTCTGTACAGGAAATCTTTAGTCAATCAACTAAAGGCTCTCATAGTAAAAGTGTATTTGAAATAATATTTGATTGTTATCAGCTAGCTAAAGGGACATGGTCTTCACTGAGAACATTAAGGGAAATATATAGAAAATTCATTTAATGTTAGAGCCTCTGAAGACCCAAATAAGGAGCGCTGTCTTCTAGGACATAATGGCTATTCAGATGAATAACCACCAGAAAGTTCTCATGGGGGAGATGCTGAAGAGCAGACCTTTACTATTCCTTACTCCTGGCTTGCACCACACTGTGGGGTTGGCAGGACTGGTAAGGGGCTCTAGGCTCAGCCACAGATTCGCTGGTAACTACCATCCTTGTCTACTAAGGAGAGGTCCACCTGCTATCACTTATCACAGTTACTGCAGAGGAAAAATGAGATGAAAAGATATGAAGTCAGGGCTGTCCCGAGGCCTGGTGGTTAGGGCACCTGGATCTCACATGGCCGAACATGCAGTTCAAGTCCTGGACCCAGTGCTTGAACGGCACAGCAGGTGTGTGCATGTGCACGTGCGCCCAAAATCCCAAAAGGAGGGGAAAATGGAGAAGGGGTTGCAGTGTGACCAGGCCCCACTGGGAGCACTTTCTCACTTCCTTCTCTCTCTTTCTCCCCAGCAACTGTGTATACCCTCTGGCAAAACTTTTTTAAATCATTACCACATAGGTATAAAATGTTGTTTCTGTCCCTCCCTCCCCCCAGTAATGCTGTTATCATTACATATATCTCTGTCCCCTGCTGCTTACCTGGTAATGTAGTAGCTGGGTTCATTGGTGGCACAGAAGTAAGGGACTGGTTTACTTGTGGTGGCAATAACGGTACTGTTGGTACACCTAAAACAAAAGCATAATCTTTTTTTTAAAATGTCTAACAGTTTGCAAAGAGTAGACAGACTCTATTCAGCTAATTTGCAGCTCCTCCCCACCCCCTGGTTGGGCCTTCCTTTGGTCCTCATTTCTGGTACATCATGTTCTGTTTTGTTTTTTTTTTTCTTTTTTTGAGAGGTTTTTCACTATAGGGCGCGTGCGCTTGCCAGACAGACAGAGAGAGACAGAGAGACAGAAAGCAAGAAATCACCCCCCAGGGGGTATGGCCACGCCACAGTCCCTTCTCCTCCATTTTCCTCTTGGGATCTTGGGCATGCACGCACATATGCCCAGTGTGAGTTTAAGCCACCGGGTCCAGTACACGAACCGCGGTCGACTACATAGGAGACCATGTAGAGTCCATGGGAGTCCAGCAACATAGCCATTACGCTAACTGCTGGTCCCAAGTACATCATGTTCTGAACCACACCCTTCACAGCTGATGTACGGACTCCACCACAATCCTTACAAAAGGCTGTTACCAGGGTCTGGGTCGAGAGTGGGGCAGGGGAGGCGATGCAATCCCACCACTGGCTCAGCTTGCTGGGCAAGTGTCTACACTAGCCTAAGCAGGGCTGGATTAGACCATCGCCTTAGACATTTGGAAACAGGACCCGAGGATTCTGGTCCCTCCCTAAGGGCTCCTGAACCAAATGCCATGGACACGGGATGACTGAGGGGCCACATGCCCTGTGAAACATTGAATGCTGGGCTGTGAAAGAGGAGCATGACGCAGGTGCCCCCCAAAGACAAAAGAACACACCCATCTCTAGAGATGGAGAGGCCTGGCTTTCCAGATCTCCATTTCCTGCCACCCTGAGGCTCTGTACTCCCCTCAAGTCTAACACATTCCTGTTTGTACTGATGTGAGCTCAAGGTTATGTTCTTCACACACAAGTAACCCTTAGGATTCCACCTAATAAAGATCGGATGGCTAATGTGCACCACCTACTCAAGTGGGAGGTTTTGATGATGTGCAAATATAGTACTATTGGATATGGATTCTAGATTTTATCTCACAGAAATCTGCTAAAATATGATGACAGGAATGAACTGTGCCTTAAAGTATGTCCCAACTATTGGGCTGTTGGAAAAGTCATGTCATATTTTTCTTTTTTTTTAAATAATTATTTTATTTTTTATTTATTCATTCATTTATTTTTTAATTTGACCAGAGAGAGAGAGAGGGTGAGGGTGGGAGAGAGAGGAAGTGAGAAGGCAAGCCACCAGATTCAGGACTCAAACCACAGTTTGCCATATGGTAATGTACAGCGCCTTAACCACCATGTCACCCGCGGGTCCCATATATATATTTTTTTCTATGTAAAAATGTGTCATGACTTTTCCAATGACCAAACATTTTCAGTTAGTCTTTATTTATTTACCTTCTCTACTACACAAATCTTAAGCATGCAAACTATATAATTAAGCACTAGCAAGAGCTCCACAGGAGCCCAGATCACAGAACTTCACTGAAATATCAGAAGCCATTCTCTATTTTGTACTGAACTGTTAGGCACTGCATGATTTGTTATGTGGTCATATGCAATCACAACTATTAGTTGTGTCTTCAAATCTTGGTTTTAAGAAAATGAAAGCAGTTGGCTAGCAAAGTTTCTCTATTTCCTAATAAAGTCTTTCACTTAAGTTTAAGTTTCTTCTCATCCTTAAAGGACAGATACACCCTAGTTTCTTTTTACGTAGAGGATTTTGTTACAGGTAGCGTTTGCTTGCCAGAAAGACAGAGATAGAGAGACAGAAAGCGAGAAATCACCCCCCGGGGGGGATGGCCACGCCGCAATCCCTTCTCCTCCATTCTCCTCTTGGGATCTTGGGCATGCATGCACATGTGCCCAGCATGAGTTTAAGCCACCGGGTCTGGGATTTGAACTGCAGCCGACTATATGGGAGTCCAGCGACATAGCCTTTATGTCAACTACTGGTCCTACACTCTAGCTTCAAAAACAAGTGACTGAATCTCGGCCAGGCATCTAGGGCTTCACGTGGTCTGCGACACTGTTACAACCGTACACAACACTTTCGGGAGAGAGGGTTCTTTACTTGGATGAATGGTTGGCGTGTTCATTCATTGTTTTGTGGGGCACCTACTATCTGTCAGACATTGTTCTAGGCACAGAGGCACTTAATAGCCAGAAGAAAACAGAAATCACAACTGTCCAGAAATTTATATTCTCATGAGGGGCAAGAAGAGAAAACTAAATGTAAAATAATTATACTTCTCTATAGAAAACTTAAGTAAGCAAAGGGAACAGGCAGGGAGTGAGAGGTATACCTAGAGAAACACTGATTAATGCCATTTAAGTAGTAATATTCTTTTCTAAAAATGTTGTAGACCAAATCCACAGAGAAGTTTAATAAAAATAAAGTCACACTTTTATATCTGTACAGTTACTGTTTAGGGTACTTTGCAATCAATATAATCAATGAAGACAGGAAAATAAATGCCTAACTAAAACTCGTTTCTCACGTGGCATAATGCTAGAACACACCTGAGGAATTTTCTTTAATTGCCAGAGGGCACGTGTGCTCGCCAGGAGAGAGGAGCGAGAGGGAGAAAGCGCCCCTAATGGGAGTGATGATGCTGCCATGACCCCTCAGCATCCCCGTCTCCATCCTGTTGGGCCTTTGGGCGTAAACGCACATGCATCTGGTGTGTTTTTCAGGATTTGAACCATGTAGCTAACCCCTGTAGGATACAGCTGCCTTAACCACCAGGCCAGGCTTGTTTTAGGCTTTTTAAACTGATTTATGCAAAAGTGAAAGTGTCACTTTTCTTTCCGTCTATTTTAAGCACTGCTTTATTTATGTTCTATCTTTGATATTCAAGAAGCCATTTCTCTGCAGTGTAATCAGCCGGGATCTCAGTGCAGTGCTTATAAAACAATAACTGCAATGTAATGAGGGGCGATTAAACTGTCAAAGAGAAACTGGGACTGGAAGAGAGATGTCAGCTATTTCCTAAAATCAGAAGGGATGTCATATGGCATATTTCAACCCTCACAGGATTCAAGATATCAGTGGGAGAAGTGAATGCTGCTGTGGTGGGAAAAGCAAGACAATGAGAGTTGCAAGTAGAACCTGCGCCCAGCGACAGTGCACAGGAGGGAGGCACTCTGCACGACAGGGCGGCCATGTGGGAAGGCCCTGGACTTGGATCCTGGTCTAACTGGGCCTCTGGGTATGCCCATGATCCTGGCTGGCTAGAAGGCTAGAGTAGGGTAGGTAGAGGCACAGTGAGACCCTGTCAGGGCAGCTGTATCTCTCTCTTGAAATAGTCAATAAATGGACTTAAAAAAAAAAAAAAGTAGAGCCTAAGGATGTGATCAAATTACTGCAATCTCATGATAAAACTTTGCCAGAAGAGGGGTCAGCAGGTGGCATAGTGGTTAAGGCACTGGATCCCACATGGCCAACTCTGAGGCTTGATTTCTGGATGTAGTAGCTTGAAAAACACCCCTGGCACATGTGTGTGCATGCCCAAAATCTCAAGAGGAGAATGAAGAGCAGGGACTACGGGTGGCCATCCCCTTTCTCTCGATCTTTCTGGGGAGCGCATACACCTTACAACAAAAATCTCCCTCAAAAAAACTTTACCAGAAGAGCTGCTTCTAAGTATGAATGAACAAAGAAAGTGGTTTCTTGAGATGGAACCTACTCCTGGTGAAGATGCTGTGACCACTGTTGGAATGACAAAAAAGGATTTAGAGTAGTCCTTAAGCTTAGTTAATAAAGCAGCAGTGAGGCTTCAGAGGCCTGACTCCAGTTTTCAAAGACGTTCTGCCGTGGGTAAAATGCTATCAAACAGTATCACAACTACAGAGAAATCTTTCATGAAGGGAAGAACCCACCGATGTGGTAGACCTCAACGTCTTATTTTAACAAAATGCCACAGCCACCACCTTGATCAGACAGCAGCCAACAACAATGAAGCAAGACCCTCCACCAGCAAAAAGATTATGACTCTTTGAAGGTTCTGAAGATCATTGGCATTTTTAGCACTGAAATTCTTTGTTTTAATTTGCTGCAAGGAGCATGTGCTCTGTGGGGAAAGACAGACAAAGAGAGGGAGGGAAGATGATAAATCACTGTCCAGGTGCCGCAATCCTTTCTCCATTTTCCCCCTGGGATTTTGGGCATGCAAACACTCGTGCCTGGCATGTTTTTCAAGCTGCTCAGTCCAGGACCAAACTGTATTGTCAGTCGTGTGGGATCTAGCTGCCTTAATCACTGTGCCACCAGCTGGCCCAACAGTAAGGTGTTTTTGTTTGTTTGTTTTTTAAGTTTTTTTCACAGGGCACATGAACTTGCAAGAGATGGAGAGAGATAATGACAGGGAAAGTGAGAATTCACCCCCCCCAGGGGGAATGCTCATGCCACAATCCTTTCTCTTCATTCTCCTCCTGGGAATTTGGGCACACATGCACATGTGCCTGGCGTGATTTTCAACCTACCAGGTTGGGAACTCAAACTGGGGTCAGCCATGTGGAAGTCCAGTGATGTAACAACTATGCCACCTGCTGCTTCCCAGTGAAGTATTTTTAAATTAAGGTATGCACACTGGTGTTTTTGGACATAATGCTACTGTACACTTAATAGATTACAGTACAGTGTAGACATAACTTTTATATGCAGTAGGGGACCAGAGAATCCATGTGACTCACTGTACTATGACATTTGCGTTCCTGTGGTACTTTGGAACCGGCCTGCGGCATCTCTGAGATAGGCCTGTCTGCAAAATGCCGCGTAGGCAAATCTAGGGAGACAAGAAGTGGCTAAGTAGATGCCAAGGCCTGGGAGGCTGGGGATGAACGGAGAGTGGCTACTCATGGGTACAGGGTTTCTTAGGGTCATCAAATATTCTACAATCCAGGTGCTGTTAGTACAGCTCTGCAAATGTATGTACTTAAAAACCACTGCAATATATACTTTAAATGGGCGAATCACATGGTGCGAGGATTATATCTCAATGAAGCTATTAAAGAAAAAACTCTGCTAAAACAGACAAACAGAAAGCAGTATATCAGATAGAACGAGGTATAAAGAAGAGTAGGGAGGCAGGGCTGAGCCCCTAACACAAGGAACAGCATCCGCTCACTTGTGCATCCCCAGTACCCGCCCAGGAGACACACAGCATTTACCAAGGGATTAATTACAGAAAATAAAGAGGCAGAGTTCCGACTCTGTATATTGTACAATCCAAGAGAAACTTAGGGTCCAAAATGTGCAGAGAAGCGGTTTAAGCCTGTGTGCATACGTGTGGTTATGTAGTGCCCACTTTTAGGGATAAGACCTATCTGTTGGCACAGAGCACATTTAAGTTTCTTTAAGGTACATTGGCATTCATTTTTTATAAATTCTATGCGAGAACATCATGAACAACAAAGCAGACTGCAAACAGAGCATGTTTGTATGCACACCTGTACTGAGAACATTACTGACAGCTGGTGGAGTAGAGCTAATAGAAAGTCCAGACAGACTCTGTTCAATTCCTGTAGTTCCTGGTGATGACAAAGACGGGGGATTAACTGAGGACAGCTGGACCTTCCAAAAAAGAAAAAGAAAAGTTACATAAGTTTGTTCAAAAGAAAATATCCATATTGGCTCTCATCTGCCCTACAGATATGCATTTGAATCCCGCAGTAGCTGTCGAAACTTCCACCTGGCACTCTGCCTTCAGACATTTCTCCTAGTGTTGATATACACCAGGGACCCTGCATATGGCATACGGAGACTCGTTTCTATCCTGTCGCTCCCAGTGTCTGGACACATGGCTTCCTTCTTCCCCCAGGGACAAACACTGGGCTAGCTACTTCCACACTAAAAGATTCTATTCTTTCTTCTTTCCTAGCCACCCAGAATCATTTCATTCAACACTTAAAATACCACTGCTTTCCACTTCGCTCTGAACTCTGTTTTTTTTTTTTTTTTTTT